GTTAGGCGAAAATATTTGCTTGCTTAGCTCGAGACGAAAACACGCATAGGTGTGGTTGGGGCCTGAATGAATGTCTCCCGATTCCAAAGAAGCAAAAAAAAAAAGAAAAAATAGCTGAGATGAAAATAGGAAATATTTTAAGAGCATGCCTCTTAAGTAATGTTATCAGTACCTGACGTAACGACACCTGTGCTCCCAGAGTCGCATTTTAGCGTCATTTAAGTCAGTTGTATCCTTACTACTCCACAGTCTCTCTCCTACTGCCAGAGCGCGGGGCCTGGGATGTGCAGCACGAAAACCATCAAAGTCACACCGATCAATGCATGATAAAGGTTTATACTAAAATTATTTCCAAGTAATAATACTAATGGTGACAATAACAAAAAAAGCTTAAAACAAAATAAAAAAAGAGCTTTAAAGTCCAAAAACCATTTGAGCTTCCATTCTGATTCAAAACCAGAGGAATGCAAATGTTCAGACCATAAAAACATTTTTTGCCGTCTGAATTGAGAGTGATCTAATCAAAATGTATAAGTTAACGCTAAAAACGCCGACACTTTATGGAAACAAAAACAAATGAGATCAATGTCAGAGTTTGAAAAAGTGCGCACCGACCCCTCCCCTAAACCAACAACAGTAAACCAATAACAACTTAGGGTTGATGTTGGGTTAAGGGAGGGGTTGGCGCGTAGTTGCTCAGATACTAACATTGATCCAACATATGTCTGTAAATACTTTGTTGGTGGTTAATTTAGCAAGTCAGACGATAAACCTCACCATGTTCTTGGGAGAATATTGGTTCCATCAACGTACTCTCCCCACATACACCCAGTACCACCTATCACTAACTCTTTTTGTTCTTCAGTACCTGGAAAAATAATATCCAGTCAAAAATACGATTATTAAATTTAAATATGTCATAATTTGACCCCCCAAAAGTATCCTTAAATGCGAGAAAACGGTTTAAAAGAAAGGAGAATAAACAAGAACAACACGCCCGCATAAAAATGAACTTAAATTAAGTTTAAACATCTTTCTTACCAGTGAAGTCTGTTGGTTCACAGGTGTAGTACTACAAAAACAATCCACAGAAAATAGTTTAAAATTAATACAATAAAACACGAACAAACAAACAAGCAAAACAGAGGAAACAGAATAAAGAAACACTGGTGACGGAGAATGTTTCCTGCAACGGTCCATATCGCCGATATGAATCATTTCCACAGCTAGTTTCCTCAAAAGTTGTTGCTGCCTGCTAACGCACCCGCCGATATAACAAAGTAGTTTCTCTCGAAAATATCTTATCGATTTTTAACTTGCTAATTATATTATAACACATGTGTCTGATAACATAGACGATAAATAAACAAGTTTTCAATTACGAAAACAGTCAAATGCGCTCCAATCCAACGTCAAATACAGATCATAAGTGCCAAGTGCCCTCGACACTTCCTTTTTCACGCCTGCAGGAAAAATATGCATGTATGCATGGAACTGCTGTAGAAAGTACTTAAACGTTTTAAGTTTTTTGCCGCCTTCTCTCGTGCCAGGGGAAAAAGAGGAAGAGGACCCGTAGAAAATCGTCTTAGCGGTCTAACGAGTACGCATGTGCAAACGCTGAGGGCGTAATCAAGCGGTTTCCGACACTGCATAATAAGCAAGGAGAAAGAAAAAGTAACTCAAGCTGGAATACTGCTACACAAACGGCGTTTTGAAAACTTAAAAAATTTTTAGTAAAGCTAAAAACCAATCACAGTAACCGCAACTGAATTACTATTTATTTAAAGGGACTGGAAACTCTACTCAAATTTACCGCAGCGTTTGAGCGTGGCGTTTTCCCTAAACTAACTTCAACGTAAAATTGGCACGCAGTCAACGAAAACTGATCTATTTGCGCATGCCCGACAGTTGACTGCTGTGTTACCCGGAAAGGAAAAATTGGTATCTTGCTCCTAAATACCTTATCCCAGTCAATTCTATATTGTATTCTGTTCAGGTACCAACAAGCCGACAGAATTGTTCTCAATCCCTTGCTTGTGACTTTTTCCATTTCCTTTTTCCAGCCCGCTTTCCAAACATTCACCACAGTATCGGGAAGTACTTTGATGTCGTTATCCACAACTTCTTGCCACACAATATAACTTTTACCAAGTCCCTCCACAATTGACAGTAGGCTAAAAATTGGAGGAAAGATCACCTCAGTTTCAGGTGGTTAAGTACAGGGTCTTTCAACGCCAAAATATGAAAATGTACTGCCTACTTTTTGGCTGCGGTGGCGCCAATTTTCGCGGGCTGCAAGTCATGTCTGCGTTCTGACTGGTCGATACACGAGCCTTATTACAGCGTTTTGATTGGCCATTCACATCTACTAGTATGATTTAGTATAACTTAACACGATTGAAGCTCTGATCTTCAGCAGTCACTGACATGGATAAGTAAGCTTTCTTCAGTTTTTTTTCAAGCAAGCGAGGATTTTTTTTATTTTTTATTCATGGACTGTTGCGTAAAGCTATTAAAGTTAAGTCATCGTCTAAAAAAGGAGAGAAAAAAGGAAAACTCGCCCAAGATTTGTTCTTACTGTTGCTCATAATACTGCTCAAGCAAAGAATAGTTTTGCCCATATCCCATTTTCTTCATCCACGTTGTAATGTTCGGATTACTTGCCCTGGTGAGCAAATGACAATAGACATCAGTATAAAAAACAGTTAAACAATTAAGAAATGTAAAATGGTTTCCGTGTTTACATAGCCTGATGTAAACACGCGGGAGGTTGGGAGAACACGAGATAAGCGTAGGAAACCACGACGCGAAGCGGAGTGGTTTCCAGCTTATCGTTCTCCCAACCTCCCAACCTTGCTGCTATAACTATAGAGTACGAATATCCACTGGAAAGATATAAAAAAATCGTCACGAGGAAAAAACGATGAGTGTGATTGTGCGTATAGTTTGCTGGCTCTAGGCATAAGGAATGCCTTGTAAATGAGGAACTGAGGTCACCCTGATTTTAAACGAACACGTCATTTTCAGGAAGCCTCATAATATAGATATACAAGGTGACCAAGCAGGGAAACCTTCTAAGAGATAGTTAGATCGACCAGTCGGATCATTGAGTCCCACACGGTATTCACCATTTGACATTCTAAAGAACTATTTATAAAAATAAGGGAAACTCAGATCAGCTGATTAGTTGTTTGGTTTCATCAACAAGTGACGTCAGTCAAGTTCCGCTCATCAGTAGTAAAGAGCCGAAGTTGCAACATCATGATGTCATACCAACAGGTGTCCCTAACTTCATCTCCTCCCAAGTGAAGATAATGATCAGGAAATTTTTCAGCAACCTCTGAAAAGAATTTCTTCAAGAAAGTGTAGGTGGAGTCCAGAGTTGGGTTTATTGGTCCAAATGTTCTGCAAATTGGAGAACATATAAAATCAACCTTCAGACCCTAACAGTAGTATGAATATTCTCCATACTGTTCTCCATACATTTCTTAAGGTACTGACAAGGAGAATTTGTTAAACTATCAAAAACTTCTTTAGTTGGTGATCATTTCCTTTGTTCCCATGACCTTAATGTGTGATTCACGGGTGATATTGTGAGGAGAAATTAGATGCTAATCACACTGAAGAATCAAAGGGTTACCTTTAACTAACAGAGATAGAGTCTGAGAGTCCATTTTGGAGAGCTTCCCTTCTCATATACTGGTGATCATTGACAAACATGTGTAGATCTAGACTTCAGCTCATCATACCAAAACTTAGAATTTAAGGGCAGTGTTGAAAAGTAGTATGAGAAGAAGGTTAAAGAGGGGTGGGGTGGGTAGAGGGCTGGATGGCAGCAGGGCCTTGAATAATTCATCTCAATCGTCTACTTTAAACTTCTCAAGCTTTAGCTGCATGTGTTCATAGCTTCTCGCTTGCTGCTTTAAAGTGCATACAAAACAACCAGAAAAGTAGGCCAGGTCTAATAAAATGGCAACACACAGAATAAGCCATGCTAATGAATCACTGCAGCAATTAACAAAAACAAAAGAGTAATATATTTTCTTACCCTGATGGTTTTCCTTCAGAATAACAAGGTGTTAAGAGGTTTTCTATGCTTCCCCAGGATCTCGTGTGACCCTACATGGACAATACAAACCTCACAACTGACTCTGATCTTATCAAGAATAAATGATGGCAACAATTATTAATTGTGTGTACTTAATTGACCTCTCCCCTGACGGGGCTTTTCAGGGCCAAACAAACAAATTGGAATCACTGTATGATAAACATAGTGTTCAAAACACCCAACTGGCAGGGGGCAGACAAATTGGCTATATAAAAGGTGCAGCAAAGGAGTTGATTTTGGGGCAGCTGAGAACAAATCCAGTGAGGAGCAGAGTGGAGGGCTTGACAACTGAAGAATATCCATGTCTGGTTTTGTGACAGACTTAAATATATGACTGTTTTGTGAATTGACTAGCCAGTAAAAAAATTTTATTTAACCCATCAAAGCATAGGAGGCATAAAACAATTCCATTTGAGTACTCACTGGTGTATCAAATTCTGGAACAACTCTGATTCCACGCATCCTTCCATATTCCACAATATCATTTACATCGTCTTTTGTGAAGATGTGAGTTTTATTGTTATATGCACCCTTAAAAAATGAAGCACAACATGCAATCAAGAAATTCCAGGCTGGAAAGGGAATTTCTTCACAAGTCCATAATTAAAGTATAGAGAGGGTAAAAATAAACTTATACTGGTAATCTATGGTGCTGGATCAGCAGGAGGGGAACATTACAAGATAAATCTGGCTATAGTAATGGCTACCAAAAAGAGTTTCTAAAGCTTTAAAAACCCTTCACAGTGGCCAATTTACATAATCAACTCAGTTGATAAAACCAAATTCATAAAAGAAAGGAATTTAAATACATAAATAATTAAGCAAAAAATTTTTGATACCTGCCCACTTAGTTGTGGAAAAGTTTCACTGACAAAAGGAAAGGATTGATCGTCCACAACATGCCAATGAAGAACATTAAACTTGCTGTATGACAATGCATCCTAAAATTCAAAAGACCTTCAGATGACTATAATGACAGGGAAACTGTGCAAAGTCATTTACACATCATTGGAGAGGTGAAGTATTAGACCAGTGTCTATAAAGGCTATGGACATTAACTAAGAATCAGTTCAGAGGCATTTCTATAAATACCCTGCATAGAAATATACAGAAAAGAACTGGCTTCTACAAAGTGTTTCTGAAGAATGAAGTGACTTTTAGTCAGTAATGTATATAGGTCCCTAGTCTACCTGTTACATGAAGTGATTTTAATTTCCTCCTTATTGGTCAACTGACACCAATCACATCTACATCCCAGAGTAGAGTGGAAAGTGCATCCTTAGAGCTAATATTGCCCCATGCTCAGGGATGGTATTGGGCAGTTCCCCCACCTCCCCCCCCCCCCCAATAAATTATCATGGGACTGGCCATGGGTAGCTTAGCTTATCCAAAGTCAAACATTTCCAGAGTTAAGATATCTACAGAATGGTACAGTGTTCCTAATTTAAGGAAAACAAATTTCTTTTAAATATCAACAGAGAGTACAAATTGAATTCATATGTTTAAAATTTCTTTCAGTAACAATTATAATAAAATTCTCACAATAAACTTGAGGATGATAGATGGATGTAAGTAGTGCCTTGAAGTGTCAATCATGAACCCTCTGTGTTGAAATCTTGGATGATCGGCTATTTTTGAGCCATTGGCCAAATACTATGAAAAAGAAGAAAAAAATCAATTCAACTTGTTGAGACATTTTATTTTAAAATAGAAGATAGATTTGTTTTACCTTTGAAGTTTGCTTCACATTTTTTAAGTTTAAAACTAGCAAGAAATGTAACTTATTTTGACATTCAGCTAATATTCAATAACAAGTGTGTTTAATAATTGAAAATCAAGAGATTAAATAAAAAATAAATGAACACACAGGTCACTGCTCACCAATCCCATTTGATCTTGATAAACAACTTGACTGAATGTTTCAAGACCTGTTTAAGAAAATGAAAAAAGAAGTGCAGGTGAAGTGGCAAGGTAAATATCTACCACTAGCCACCGGCACTGAGGTGAAGAATTGTTTCAGTATATACTAAAACAGTGAGATAATATAGCACAAAAAATGATTTTAACTCATTTAATCCTAAAACTTTACAATATTTTCAGGCACAGATCCCACATGCATCGGGCTGCAGTGAATAGCAAAGGATATCCAAAGTTTGAATAGCCAATTAGAGTACACCTTCAATACTATCTCCTATATTAGTAAATACAGATGTACATTATATGGCAAGCTGAATTTCCACTTCTTTTAATTCGTTCATACCTATGATCTATTGGAAGACAGACTCATAGACAATCTCACCATCAACAATTTTTGCTTTTTTATCATAGAAAACTATAAGATTCCACATTACTGTGGGTCTGTACAGTAATAGATCACAGAAGATGTCAAATGGTAAGAACATCAATGATACACTCAACTGCACCATATGTTTTATTTTTATCCTTCTTACCATATTTAGATGTCAAATCTGATATATTACAGGACACATGAACAGACACATGGAAAATATTTGTTAATTACAAATGAAAAATATATAGGTATACCTCGTAATGCACCCCATACTGTGTTGGCAGTCAAAGAAGAAGTAGGTGCATCAACAACAAGGATATCTAAATTGGAAAATAAACACTTACTTTCAGTGACCAAATGTGTAAACAATCAACACTCCTCTCAAACCAGACACCTTATCTTCCCTTTCCCCCTCCCTCCCTCCCACAGGGGGCTCTACCTCACTAAGGCCATGGTGTTGATTCATCTATCTGGGTCTGAAATCAAGTAAAGTTTGTACATCCTTCGAAGCCATCATCTGCTGGAGTTAGGTGTGGTTCATGGGAACACACATATTTCATTACAGTTTAGGTCTGATAAATTAGGATGTGGTAAAGTCACCCATTGAGCTCTAAATAGTGGTTTTAAGAGTCATTCTACATATTCCCCTATTTTTGTTGAGAAGAGGTCTAACACAAATAGGAAAACGGACAATAGAGTGCTCCAAAGCCAACCACCTCGCTTGCACTTTTCTGTTCAACCCCGTCCCCTCCCCACTTCAAATTACGTAATGTTTCAGTTCTCCTTGTAACCTCTCAGTAACAACACATCTGCAGCTCGAGCGCCAAGATATTATTGAGGACGAATAAGAAAAATCAAGCGTAGCTTCAGAGAAATAATTTTGAAATGTAAGACAGATTTAAAAATTATCTTACACTTACAGGACTCATCAGATTCTAGCGACAACGGAGCGTATTTGTTCAACACCTTTACGGTCAGTTTAATAATTTGCGACAACCCGTCTTTAGGTTTTTCGACAGCATCTGGAAAAACCAAAACCTTGTAGCGCATTAACGCTTGTTTCAGTACATCACTGGTTTCACCCGTTGAATCGAAAGAAAAATTCTTCGATGTGAGCGTGTAGACCTTGCCAGTTGTGTTGTAAGATTGAGGCTTCGGCCAGATCGATCCTGTCACATAATTGATCACTGCTTCCTCTTCATCCTCTTCTTCTTCTTCCCACGGTTCAGAAAGACTACCAGAACAACTCATCAAAGCAAGAGCCACGAAAAACAGCTTCAGAAGAAACATCTTTCAGACGATAGATGTGCGCGAGACCGTTAGATAATGCGGTTGCGCTACTGTTGTTATTATTGTTGTCAGACATGAAGGCAAGTCACAAGACAGTCGGGTGATTTCGATCATGTGACAACAGTCACAGTCATTTTTTTCTTTTTTTCGGGGAAGCGCAATACTGTAGCGGCGTAAGAATCGGCACTTGTCGACTCTTGTCTTGCTACACGATCGCGCTCCCTCGATCGAAAAACAACAAGTTGACGAATCATTTAAACGTGACATGTACTAAAACATAGACGGTAGATATTGATTTTGTGACACAACATTATCTCAAAGTTCAAAATTATCAGGCAATCGCGTACGTGTCATATAAATATTTATTTCACCGGGCGTTCCGCTACCACAGTGAACCCGAAGTAAGCGGTCACTCACAGGGAATGACCGGGTGACCGCCTAATACAGGTTGACTGCCTAACAAATATAGGCTCCACAGAATTCATGAAAACGATAAAAAAAACGCTATCGATTTCAGATCTCTGTCATTCCGCGCTGACATTTTACAGGTACTTCCGGTTGGCGATCAGCAATCAAATAACCAAGTCAACAAATGAAGAGTGTCCACTGTTGTAAAGTTCCAAAGTATTGCCGTAAAAATGCAATGTGCTGTGAAGTGCCGATGCAAAAATTGTTTACAGAGTTCGTACACTGATCAATTGACAGGTTGGAGACAAGGCAGGTACATTTATTAGATAAGTATCAAATTTATTTTAATACAATACATCGCCGCTTTGTTCGCTTCGCGCACTGTACATGTCTACTGAAGATATAAGATTCGGGTCCAGTCCTGTTACGTCAACTTTTTCTCTGTCTTTCTTTTTCTTTTCTTTTTCTTTCACTTTTCCTTTCAATTTACAGTCTTCTTCGGAGGATATGTTAGCTACGTTCACAGAAAAACGCACATGCGAGAACGTTTGACGACGTAGCCCTCACTACAAGAGCGTTTAGGAAAAAAAAAAAAAAAATTTTGTGGCAATTTGAATTTCGTGTTCCGTCAGAAATCTATCGTCTACCGTCTACTGTCTTCCGTCTATCGTCTACCGTCTTCGGTCTATCGTCCACCGTCTTCCGTTTACCTTCTATCGTCTACTGTCTATCATCAGTGTTTTAGTACATGACATTTGAGCGTAGGCGCTTGCTAAAGGAAATACCGTTACAGGAAATAAAGATAATTGACCTCGCACAGAATGATTGTCTTTACATCCTTACGTCCGTCGCAAAAAAAAAAAAAGAAGATCTTTGAAGTATTGGCAGAGCAAAGGTAAAAATATCAGCTCTTTTACTTTACGCACAACCTTAACCCGGTAACGATTGATAATGGTTATAGGACCGAGTGGAGTCCAATTCGTATAGGTAATCACATGATTTCGATTGCAATTTGGAATAAATAAGCACGAGTAAATTTTTTTAAAGACGAACAAAACTGTACGAGCCTGTAGGGCGAGTGCAATTTGTGGTCTTTGAAAAATTTAACAAGTGCTTGTTTATTCCAAATTGCACGAGAAAAATCATGTGATCACGTGTTAATAATATACATGAAAAAATACGAAATTACTCCGAAAATTACTCAGTTCTAATTAGTTAAGACAAATGCAGTTTACAGGTAATTCATTGCAGAAGAGAGTTAATTCATTGCAGAAGAGGGTTAATTCAGTGCAGAAGAGGGTTAATTCAGTGCAAAGAAAGTAACGAATCAGACATTCTGATTGGTCAATAATCAAAGAAACTCACAGACAGCCAATCAAATGCGAGCCTAGGATATATTAAAGTTCAGAGAGCCTTGGTAATGGTAGCCATCCAAAGAGCCTTGGATGTTGCAACAAAATTTGAATATTTGCGAGCGAAACAATGGCCGGTGTCACAGCGGATTTGGACCCCCCGCAGATTTGGACCCCCGGTCCCAAATCCGCTAGAGCGAATATGGACCCCCCCTTCGCAGATTTGGACCCCCCTACCAAACTTTCCTTTTAAGCACCTTTGTAGCATATTTGGTAACTAATTCTATTTGCAAGCTTTTGTCGATGTTCTTTTCAATCACAACACAACATTCCTCAATAAAGGTAAAAAAAAACAGCCATTTCGTTCCAATTCTACCGCATTTATTATAGCGAGTCGTACAGTATACTTAAGAGTTCGATGTGAACAAACTACTGCATTCGAACTATCCAAATTGTTACAATAAATCTTGCTTCTTCTGATGCGAATCAACATTGGTACGAAACGTCATAACAATAGTGGAGACTATTGCGTCCAGTCATGAAAATAACTCAGTCTGATTTTCTAAAATAATAACATTAAACAGTTTCTGAACAAGGACAAAGAAACTACTCCTACTACAAGTCGTTCGAAAAGCCTATGATAAGTAAAATGTTTCTATTCTGAACTATTGGAACTCAGATTATTTTCAGATGCAAATCAACATTAATGTTTACGTCTTAACATGTGAGAGATTATTCAGCGTTAATTGATTTCCGGTTGATTTTTTGCGATAAGTGACAGATGATTGAACAACAGGATCATATTATATATTTAAAAATGAGAGAGACCAGAGCGAAAGACAGAGAACGGTGAGAGAGAGCGGGAGATTAAGTTGATTTTATAAAATAAAACGTGAAGTTTCGGAACATAGCAGATTCTTTAGTCTCATTTCCGACACAGTGGCACCTCCGACGGGACGCGCGAAGCATGGAGGAACTAACCAAAGAAGCAGATGCTAAATTGCAGATGTTGCTGTACACTAATGGAAAAACACGTGGCATTGTGGAAAAGGGAAACCTAGGAGCGGTCGCGCGACATCGCGACAACCTACAAGCATTAGTAAAAGAAGTAGACGCGCTTAAACTAAAGGTTGAACAGACCATGTTCAAGGCCGGGAAAAGTGCAGAAGACGTTGGAAGTTGGAGCAGTAGCATTGAAGAACCGATCGCCGAAGCTGACGAAGAAGTTTCGCGACTAGAAAAATGGCTCGTGGAGACGAATGGAGAGATCGAACATCGAAAGCACAAGGACGAAGAAGAAAGGAAAGCCCGTGCTCGTGAAGAGGAGCTTAAATTCGAAAGAGAGCAAATGGAGATGAAGCTAGAATTCGAACGCCAACTGGAAGAGACCAAGGCAAAACAGCAACCTGTTGAGAAGGCCAATCAGATTGAACAAAGGACAACAAAGCTACCGAAACTACAGATCACAAAGTTTAATGGGACGTATGAAGCATGGCTGCCGTTCTGGAACAAATTTCAAGCTGAAATTGATAAAGCAAACCTTGCATCTGTGACCAAGTTTGCATACCTAAAAGAGCTGGTAGATCCAAAGGTTCGAGCGGAGATAGACGGACTGCCTTTCACAACAGAGGGCTACGAAAGGGCAAAGAATATCCTCATCGGCGAATATGGGAAAACGAGCGAGATCGTGAATGCGTACGTCCAGAACATCGCGAATTTGCCTGTCATTACAGGAACACAACCTGCGCCTATCCACGAATTTTACAAGAAGCTCGTGTACAATGTGCAATCTTTGGAGACACTGGGCAAATTGAAAGACGTCACTGGAAATGTAAGGAGTGCGCTCGACAAACTAAAGGGTGTAAAAGCAGATCTAGTGAGAGGACAAATGGACTGGCAGGACTGGGACTTCCCACAGTTGATAAAAGCTTTGAAAAGTTGGAAGGAAATCAACCCCATTGGGAGCGGCGCGGATAATGCGGGGAAGCAAGGTGCTAAATTCCGCGATCGCGAGAAAACATTTCACGCAAACGAAACTACGCCAACACAAAGAGGGTGCGTCTACTGTGACGCAACTGACCACAGAGCTGTGAATTGCGACAAGTTTGTGACAGTTGGAGACCGCAGGAAACAATTAGGACTGAAACAGCTTTGTTTTAACTGCACAGGAAGTCGGCACCGTGCTTCTGAGTGCAAATGCCGTTCTGGCTGCCAGATCTGCAGTCGAAGACATCATACGTCGATCTGTGACAAACGTACATCGCGAGACCAGCTGATGACCACAACGAGCGCAGAAAGGAAAGGAGTGGTGTATCCTATGGTTACAGTTGACGTGAACGGCGTTAAATGCCGAGCATTGTTGGATACAGGAGCCGGAAGTTCCTACGCTTCATCAACGCTTCTGAACTGTTTACATTTGCGCCCTATCCGTCAACAATTCAAGCGCATTGAAATGATGTTTGGTACTTCAAACAAAGCGATAGACATCTATGGCCTACAAATTCGAAGCGTTGATGGTAAATTCACCTTGGAAGCCGAAGTAAACAAAGTCGACCGCAAAGAGTTGTTGACATTGGAAAACCCAAAATGCGCAGAAATCGTGGCTCAGTTTTCTCATTTGAAGGGCGTAACCACAAATGATAACGACGAGAAAGCGATGTTGCCTGTTCATCTGATTGGAACAAACGAGTACGCTAAGATCAAAACAGGGGCAAGACCAAGAGTTGGGCGCTCGGGAGAACCAGTAGCAGAATATACGAAGTTCGGCTGGACGATCTTGTCACCTGGAACAGAGTTGGATCTCAGCAACATGTTGTTAACGCAGACCTCCGCAATTGATTACGAAGAATTGTGCAAGTTAGACGTCTTGGGGCTAAAGGACAATCCAAGTGGAGACCAGGAAACCGTTTACGAAGAATTCAAAGAGCAACTAACTAGGAGTTCAGAAGGCTGGTACGAGACAAACTTGCCCTGGAAAGGAAATCACCCCCCCCCCCCCCTACCGAACAATCACACTGGAAGTTTAAAACGTCTCAAAAATCTCGTGCGGAAGTTAGAGATACAAGGCGAGCTGGAGAGGTACAACGACATTATCCAGACTCAACTGAGCCAAGGGATCGTAGAACACGCTGACGAGGTGGTCAAGGACGGAAAAGAGTTCTACATTCCTCATAAAGCGGTCGTGCGCGAGAATGCAGAATCTACAAAGATACGCATTGTTTATGATGCTTCTGCAAGAGCTAATGCAAGTGTCCCCTCTCTCAACGAGTGCCTCGAAATCGGCCCTCCACTACAGAACCAGCTTTGGAACGTGCTGGTACGAAATAGGTTCTATCCCGTGGCAATAGCTGGCGACTTAAAACAAGCATTTTTGCAAATTCGCGTCCGAAGAGAAGACCGAGATGCCTTACGCTTTCATTGGATAAAGGATCTGGCAAGCAAACAAGTAGAAACCTTGCGATTCACTCGAGTACTCTTTGGTTTGGCACCGTCTCCATTCCTCTTGGCCGCAGTTATCAAAGAACATCTACAGCGATACAAAATGGTGAACCCGGAATTAGTAGAGGAGATAGAGCGCAGTATGTACGTGGATGATTTAATCAGTGGTGGGGAGACAACAGAACAAGCGTTAGAAATCAAGATGACAGCCACGACCATCTTTGGTGAGGCGACTTTCAAGCTGCACAAGTGGCATTCCAACGATCGGGAACTAGAAGTTGAAACTGCGACTGTAGATGAAGAAAGTCAGAGTTACGCCAAACAACAACTGGGAACCAGAAAGGGCGAATCAAAACTGCTAGGAGTCCCCTGGGACAAAGAAAAGGACGAAATTCAAGTCAGCTTCCCGATTTCAACCGCTGAGCCGACAAAAAGAGGTATCCTTGGAAAAGTCGCAAAAATCTACGATCCACTCGGTCTGGCTTCACCCGTGACCCTCTCCGGAAAAATGCTCTACAGAGATGCCTACGACACGAAGATCGCGTGGGATAGGCCCTTACCAAGTGACTTACAAGCCAAATGGAAGAAATGGGAGCAAGGACTTCCAGAGCACGTGAACGCGCCAAGAAATGTCGTCAAGCATTTAGGGAAGATATTATCAATCGACTTACACACATTCGGGGACGCAAGCGGGAAAGGAGTTGCAGCCGCGGTTTATGCAGTGGTGGAGCAACCATCAGGCACGAATCGAGGCCTCGTGACGGCAAAGTCGCGGCTCGCGAAGAAAGGACTCACGATTCCCCGATTAGAACTAGTGGCTGGACATATGGCTGCGAACCTAGTACACAATGTGAAAGAAGTCCTGAAGGGTTTTCCCGTAAGAAGTGTCTATGGTTGGCTGGATAGCACAGTCGCACTGCATTGGATCCGTGGTAATGGCGAATACAAACAGTTCGTGGGAAATCGAGTGAGGAAGATCCAAGAAAAAGAAATAAACTGGAGGCATGTACCAACAGAGGAGAATCCCGCGGACGTGGGGAGTCGGGGAGGAGATGTTAGTAGATTGACAGCTCTTTGGTGGCAGGGACCAAGCTGGTTAGCAAAACCGCAGGACTGGCCGCCAGACCTTGTAACGACATCTACTCAAGAATCAAAAGCGGAAGAAGTGAAACAAACTCGCGAGTTGTTTGCTCTAGCAGTAGAGAAAACAGAGAACAACGACGCCTTCGATGCGCTGCTGGAGAAGTACGAGCTGTGGCGTGTGTTGCGAGTGGGTGCTTGGATCTGGAGATTCCTCCACAACATAAGAACCGTCCGTAAACAGAGAATCGTTGGTCCCCTTACAACTGAAGAAATA